CTAAACTTGATGTCAATTCCAAGGATTTCTAGGCTTGGATTCAATGTAATGCGATGGTTAAGTCATGGCTTCTAAATTCAATCTCTAAGGAGTTACAATCGGGAGTAACCCACCTCATCACCATAAGTGAAATCTAGTTTGATTTTGAAGAAAGGTTTACCAAGAAAATTACCCCTAAAAGTATATGAGTTAAAAAAGTTGATTGCTTTGTTACAATAAAAAAGAATGGATATCTCCTCATATTATGGAAATTTAAACTGATTGTGGAGTGAATTGCGGAATCTTAGGCTAATTTTTGTTTACAAGTATGCGACCACACGAAAGATGGAGTGGATATGTGAAGAAAAGAAGGTTTATGATTTTTTTAATAGGGTTAGATGATGCCTATAGAACAATTTGGTCACAAATGTGAGCCTTAAACCTCCACCGGGACTTAGGAAGGCTATGTAATGTTGGCTCGAGATGAAATAGTAGATTTACGCATACCCATCCTAGCTTGAAGCCACAACCTTACTCGCTAAATATCAAGCAACTGCTAATTCAACACTAGAATGACGACATCTAGACTATAGCCGGTGTAACAAAAATACCCATACCAAAGATACGTGCTATGATTTACGTGGGTACCCACTACGCTGGAGGAAGTTGTGTCGTGGTGATTAGCATTAGAGATGCACGTCTTCTACTATTTTTTCTCCTACTTGGTCACACCGAAATGATAATAAGTGTAAATATTTCACATTTGCAAATGGGCCACCTAATGCCTACGGTAGGCCACTTGTCCAACTAATCTAATCACGGGTCCATTGGCACGCCTCCCGTAGATCACATGTTCTACTTGGCCTAGTTGGTAATCCAACTTCCATAACTCTTAGTATATCAACTTCGACGGCTATAACTCTTATTGGGCTCTCCATATGGCTCTTCGATTGGCTCGTCTACCGACATAGCCTTACTTAATCTTTTTGGTAAGCTAGAATCATGAATCATTGATACTTGGATCAACATATGTATAGACTACAATCTTGACTCTATGATAAGTGTTCAATTAAATCTTATGATTCCTTCGAGTACAAATTCCTAATATAGATTGCATTCCAGTTATAACTTTGGGTCGAGAAAACCTTAGTAATAAATTGAGTCTTGATCAAGTTTTAGGGGTGTTTAAATTTTGTTATAATTTACTCTCTATAAGCAAATTAGCACGAGATCTCAATCGTGTTTTAATTTTTGGATTTAGGTTTTGTGTGATATAGGACTTATCCTTGAAGCTAATTAGAGTGGGTAGAGTGCGAAATGACTTATATTATTTGGAACCAACGAGAGATGGGGAAGGTACATATGGCAAAGGGGCACACTCTAGTAGCTTTATAGCATCGATATCCGGGTGATCTCTCAATGAGTTGCATCTTATTGGTTCCTACTTTATCGATATCGAGTGATTCTTAACTTTTTTTTTTGTGATAATTATGGTAGGACCAAACAAACTCAATTGCCTTTTTCAACTCGTATAAATAAATTTATAAATAATTTTGATTTAGTATATTGTGATATTTAGAGACCATATCATACTCCATCTCATTTTGGGTTGTCTTATTTTCTTACTATTATTTACGATTACAATCGTGCTATATGAGTTTTTTCTTACAAAAACAAAATTAGAAAAAGACACTATCTTTTATTATTTTTCAATTGGGTAGTATTTAGTTCAATCTCAACGTCAAAATCTTTTACAATAATAGTGATCTTAAGTTTAATCATTCGGAATTAATGAATCATTATTTTAAGCATGGCATGGACGAGTATATGAGTTGCATAAGTACTTCATAACGGAATGGTGTGGTTCAACGAAGCACGTACATATTTTGAAAGTGGCAAAAACATTATGTTTCTAGGCTTATTTACCGATTAGTTTTAGAGAGAATGTGTTGTGACTCCTACTTATTTAATTAACTACATGCCACCCTTAGCTCATTAGAACAAGACTCTTTATGAGGTTTTATTTGGCAAATCACTCGATTATGATAATTTACGGAGTTTTGAGTGTCTTTGTTATGGATGTGTTCACAATAAACCTCATGGTAAATTTGCTCCTCGAAGCAAACCCGACATTTTTATGGGATATCCACATGGTTAGAAGGGTTATCGAATTTATAACTTGGATATTCATGCCATTTATTCCTTCACAATGTTTAACTTTTTTAAAATATTTTCTTTTTGCTCCCATGACAATAGCTACTGTCGATACTCAAAAGGAATACAATTTGACTTGTTCAATCACAATAACATTCTTAGTGGGCTATTTAATTTTTTTATCCAACTACTTAGCTTAAACCATTCCGATCCATATCATGCACCCTAGAACTTCTTCTCTTGCACGACCAGACCTAGTCCCTGTTTAAAAGCTGGACTCAAGTTACGTGTACTGACTCAATTCCTTACGGACTAAGCCTCTATATGCTATATTAGTAGATTCTTCGAAATTGGGCCTTAGGTTGCTATGGATTAGTCTCCTCTACAATAGCCTCTTGTGTCTTTGGTTTTGGATTCTCAAATTGAACAGAATATGGCCCTCTCCTATGCTGATTAAAATGGTTTTGAGCAGTGTGTTACACATCTTAATCAACCTACTCGTGTAAGAGCATTATCCCGAGTATCTATAAGGTTTTCACTACAATTTGCCATCTTTCTTACTCGCCTTTCTCATCTTCGCACTATACTCCTCACTCAACTAACTCAACGAGTACATCTTTATCTTATCAAATTTTGTACTCTAAATTTTCTAACACTCAAAATGCTTTTCTAACGGTCATCTCTTTCATTGATGAGCCTACATCTTTTTCTCATGCGGTTCAACATCTTCACTAGGAGGATGCCATGGCCCAAGAGATCCTTGCTAATTTAGAGGCCAATCACACTTGGACACTTATGCCTTTAATATTGGAGAAACATACCATTAATTCAAAATTGACATACTAGGTTAAATTTCATCCTTATGGCTTGGTGGAGAGATACAAACCTCGCCTTATAACCAAAAGATATATACATATTGAAGGAGTTGATTTTTATGAGACTTTTGCTTTAGTAGGTAAACTAGTTACGGTTCGTTGTCTACTTGCTATTGCTTTTGCACATTATTAAGAACTTCACCAATTAAATGTCAACACTCGCCTTCTTTCATGGTGATCTTGATGAAGAAGTTTACATGAAAATCTCACGGGGTTTGGTAGAAAGGGAGAGCATCGGGTTTGTAGCCTTTAAAAGTCCTTTTAATGGCTTCGACAATCGTCACACAACCGGTATCACAAATTCATTCGGTCTTTACTAACTATGGGTTTTACTCAATCTTCTTTCGATCATTCCTCATTCCTCTCTTCTCAACATGATTCCTTCATTGTTGTTCTTATTTATGTTAATGATGTGATCATCATAGGGATCGATGTTCTTTTTTTTTTTTTGGCTCAAGTAGTATCTAGATACCACATTTCGTATCAAAGACCTAAGTAAACTCAAATATTTCACGGGACTTAAGATTGCTTGCCATTCGACTAACATTGCATTGAGTTAACATAAGTATGTTCTTGACATATTAACTTAATATGGTCTTATTAGTTGCAAAATGGCTTCCTTACCTATGGACTAGCAACATAAGCTTGATCTTAATTTTGGCTCTCTTTGTGATGATCCTGGCACATATCAACGTTTAGTAGGGTATTTACTCTATCTCACCATCACTCATCCGGACATTAGCTACGCAATCCATGTTTTGAGTCATTTCATGCACCGACTACACTTTGATGCTATTATTTAGTTAATTCGATATCTCAAAGGTGCTCTCGGACAAGGCATTTTCTTTCCTTTCTATAGTTCCTTATCTCTACGGGGTTATTGTGATGCTGATTGGGTTAGTTGTCTAGTTACTTATAAATCCACCATTCAATACATTGTATTTCTTAGAGCTTCCACGATATCCCGGCATTCCAATAAACAATCTATTGTCTCATGTTTCACGACCAAAGCCAAATATTGAGCCATGACAACCACTACTAGGGAGAAAGTCCGGCTTGTTCATCTTTTTTTTTTTTTTTTTTTAATTTAGGCGTCCCACATCCTTATCCGGTTTCATTATTCTATGACAAACCAGATTGCTCTTCACATTGTTACTAATCCAATGTTTTATGAGCGCACCAAATACATTAAGATTGATTGTCACTTCATTCACTAACACATTCAATCCAAACTCTTCTCACCTTTTATGAGCGCACCAAATACATTAAGATTGATTGTCACTTCATTCGCTAACACATTTAATACAAACTCTTCTCACCTCAACCCGTCTCTTCTCACTATCAATTCATCGAAAGTTTTACCAAAGCTCTTAATCAAGATCACTTTCTAGATTTGTTATGTGAGTTGAGCATTTCTAATCTTCATTCTCTTACTTGAGGGGGAGTATTGACGTTGTTTCATACTTTAGGAAACTATATTGTAATAGTATGGCAATAATCTTTTCCTTATTAGACTATATAATTTTTCCTTTATTGTTAGGATCTTTTTCCTTTACTGGTAGGATATATATTCTATAATCAATATATATACTTGTATCCTCTCGTAATAACAAAACAAGAAAATATTATTACATTCCTCAAATTTTTTAGTAACAGTTCTTATATATTGATTTTAGAGGATTTCATTATCATTATTTAACGTTAAATAACGATCATAATCGTTATTTGCTATTGCATAGGTCGTGATTGCTTTTTTAGCAGTGTTTGCGATTTAAACCATAAAACAAATCTGATTATAGTTATATAATTAATTGGAAATGGGAAAATCGACTAGAGCACAAGTCTATCTAATATATACAGTAGCTGGAATGACACATAATATTCTCCATCTTTTTGTCAAACGACAAGCCACACACGAAGATATCATCAAAGACATGGACGCAGCAGCAGGTCAAATTAAAAACTGCTCTCTTTTGTACATAAAAGCCAAAATTAATTTGCAGAAGATGAAGCTTCTCTTGCCTGGCGATTGATGTCATCCAGGATCACAATAAGGGCAGCTATGAATGCATAATCGATGTTGGGATATACAGTCACGGTGTAGTTGTCCTTCCCTAGAAAAATACTTTTAGCTGTGTGCTTTTTATGCATCTGCCATTCCAACAAATATCAATCCATTAGTCCAAACTTGAAGATCACTTAAAAAACGAAACAAAACAAAACGAAACAAAAAAAGCTTTGTTAAACCAACCCTGTTGTTATTAAGCAAGTGCTTTTAGCTATCCCAAATCCAATTGATCAGCAAAGAGAAAAGGGAGCTAGCTAGTATCGTCGCATCAACAATTAATCTTACCTGTGCAACAATTGTGGTAGAATCTTCATCTCCAGCGTAAACAACACAAGAGCGTTCAAAAAAACTTCCTTTCACCTTGAAATCACAAACCTTCTCTTCTTTGTTATTTGCTAAAAACACATCTAATTTAGTTTTCAAATACATCATCGAATGTGTTTTAGCATTGAAAAGTAAATCCTTGGGGTCAGTGCTTTCTCCCCTAAAAGCTTGCCATCTGCTATGTGCAGTCATTGCCTACGCATACATTACAAGGAATACAGTCAGCTAAATTGCAAGAAATTAAAGAAGAGAAAATTATTATGCAAGTATTAAAGAGAGGTGTCTAGCTAGAAATGTTCAAACCTTGCGTCGTAGTGTGACAATGGGATTTCCAGCAGGATCAAGTATGAGCTTTTTTTCATGGAGAAAGGTTAGAAGGATTTCCTTAACCTTAAAAATTATGTTGCCATTGACATCGGTAACAGCTAAGTTGCCGTCAGCTAAGGTCATAAGCTTTCTCACAATTGCAAGATCAATAGGGTAAGGAGCGCAGTACTGAGGGCTGATAATTGCGACGGGGTTGGCTACTGGTGCAACGCCAGAGTACTGTGCCATGATGGAGAGCAAAGGAGTACTAATAGATACAAAAGCCTTATTTTCAATGAAGAAAAAGTACCCTTGTTGAAGAAAAGAAAATCTCTAGGAATTAATGAATACGAGGATTTTTTTTTTAATTCTTGGTTATTGGTTTCGTGTTTTAAGCACAAACTTCATTATATAGAACAAGGAATGTGGCTATGCCCCCCGTGTTCGAAAGACCAGGTCAAGAGATGCAAACTTATTAAATTTGGAAACGGACCGCGTTATTAATTAAGGTACGGATCTTCAAACAGTGTAAGGAAATGCAATTAATGGATTGACTCGCAATTTACAATGGAACCTGTCAAAGAAGGAAAATTATCATGTACAAATTGACAGGGTCTATGGGCATCGAAATTTTATGAATTTTATTTAATGATTGATTGGTGTACTAATTTCTTTTATTATTACTAATCACTACGATAAATTCATGAAATGTGATTGATTCAATCTATATTAACATTTTTATATTTTGACTCTTTAATTACATATTTTACTTTTCATTCAATCATACTTTTTCATTGCATATTAGCTTGAGAAATTTTATAATATATCAAAAGTAATTAGTGACATGTACGGTAGTTACTCTATAAACTTATTTTGAAGAAAGAGATAGACATAAAAAAGAAAAACGAAACAAAAGAAAGAAAATAAAAAAATTTAACCTCGTTATGGAAATTTTCTTATCACTTTTTATAGATATGAATGTAATTTTTTTTTTTTTTATGTCCATCTCTTTTTTCAAAATGAACACATAAAATAATTATTATACATGTCACTAATTAGCCGAAGCACCATGCATTATTTTACTCAAAAAAAAAAAACAAAAAGACAAAAAGTTTGAGTTTGCATATGTACCAAAAAGACAAAAAAGTGAGTCCTCATCCGTGTATCAGAGGCACGTCGTGTAGGTGTGTGACTGCATTTTTCTACGTAGGCCATAAGGAAAGAAGTAATTAAGTCTTTGATTGTTGACCAAATCCTCTAATCTAATACTCTATCTATAAGATACGATTTCGCGGAGGAGGACACGGTTAAGCAATTCAATTCTCTATTTGCTTGCTTAGACTGAACCATATATAGCGTCTTTTTCTGTTTTTTGTTTTTTTGGTTCTTGGACATGCTGACATGACTTTGTGAGCATCCTTCTCTTTCTATGATGATTGTATGCGTCCTTGCTTCTCCTTTGCTTTTTATCCACAACAGATATAAGCTACCAGTCTACCACCCAAACAAAAGAATAAAGGATTTTAACCAAGCCATAAAAAGGAAAAAAACAGAAAGGAAGACATTGCCATGCATTTTACGTAAAATGACATGGTGCCCTGCCGCAAACGATGACTTTGAGAATGGATGTCAAAGATAGATTTTCTTGGTACACAATTGAGATTAAGACTGTTTTTCAATGACTTCTTCTCGGATTAAGTTGATTGTGATCTGAGAGATGAGACTCTCAGATAGATTTTTGTGCAACAAGAATGACATGAACCAAATTTACAAGAGACTAGTCAATTGACAAGATACTTGAGTGAAACGTAATATAAATCCTCAAATATCCTAGTACTTCTTTTTTCTAAGTGAATCAATTTACGGATTGAGACTTTGTTTCAAATTTTCATAAAAAAAAAAAAAAAGAATGCTCTTCGAATATTGCTTGTGGCATTCAAATTAAACTGGTAAAGCGTATCAAAACTTTGACCCACATTTTTGGCATGTGAAGCATATCAAAGTTTAACCTTACTATTACTTCGCTAGCTAGAATGTCCTTTTTTTTTTTTTTTTTTAATGATGTTCTTGGGTAGTGAAATATTTTCAAATGATTAAATTTATTATTTTTTTAAATTAAATAATGTCTAATTTTTTTGTTCTAATTTTTTTGTAGATTCTTCAAATCTATTAATTATTTTTTGAGTCCTTGAACTTGTCAATAACTCGCGTTTAGTATCAATAATAATAATAATAATAATAATAATAATAAAATACTTAATCTAGTGAGTCGGGGATATTTTTCTTGATAGTCCACCTACAATCGGTGGCTAACTCAAATATTTTTTTTTCCATTTCTATCATCTACAAGTTGATAACCATGGATTCAGGTTGCATGAGAAACATTTCAAATCTAATCCTGCTCCAGATTGCTTGTATGGAATTTAAATATTTTATCAAGCATGCTGGATGGAGGTTACAGTTTACTTTTCTTTTTGGACGAAAAGAGAAGGATGATTGTGGAGCCAAAATTTCAGGATTAGGGACCTATATGAAAAAAAGAAGGGGATAAAGTTAAAAATAAAAAAGACGAAGAAAAACATGGAGATAATACATAATTTTTTTAGGCTTATAATCGAAGTTATATATATATATATATATATATATATATATATATATATATATATATATATTGATGGTTTTAATTGTAAAAAAAAAAAACAAAAAAAGACAAAGTAAGAAATTTTTAAAAGAAGTTATTAGATATTCTTTATCTTAGCTTTCTCACTCATATAAAAATACGATTCATTACAATAACTATTTATAATTTTTATTTTTATGTGAATGATGAAACAATACATTGCAAAAATATCTAATAATCTTTCAAATTTTAGTATCAAACCATACCAAAATCCAAATTCATATAACAAAGAATCTCAATTTTGAAATAAATATATCCTAGACATAAATAAAAATTAGAATCCCATGACAATTATGATGTTTTGACCTATTAAAAAATTAAATAAATAATTCAATATGTTGTTACATAATAGTTAGAGTTTTTAATATATCATTACAATTTTAATATATTATGTTTGTAAATAATATTTAAGTTTTTAATCTGTCATTCTCATCAGTTTTTATGACAATGAATAAATTTTTTGATAAAAAAATCTCTAATCGACAAAAAAAAAAAATCTAAAACAATTTTTTTAGTGTGTCAATTACAAAATTTGCTAGTAATAAAAAATTAATCCCATAGATAAATTAAAAACTTAAATATTGTTAAAAAATGTAACAAATACAATTAGAAATAAAAAAACAGATTATAAACTCAAAGTTATATGCTATTATAATATAATTAGATATGAAGCTATTTACTCTTAAAAAGTTTAACAATTCCAACAACAATAGAGCATCATCCCATTAAGCATGGAGCCAAGTCCAGATAAATTGGGTCATGTAATCATCAAACAAAAAAAAAAATGTTGGATCAAATATTAAAATCTCTTTTCTTCATGGAATTGAACTGGGCCATGTGTTAACCATTTCCTTCTTTCACCTTGCTAAAGAATGATTTTTTTACGCACAAACTGCACTCTGAGTGAAGCATTTCAACAAACATAAAGTGACTATACAACAAATAGAAACTTTGGTAAGAAAATCTTACAGCATCCTGTAACCACATTCCCAGATCGATCTTCTTCCAGAATCCCAACGACAATGGTTAGATACACTTCTAAAAAGAGTATCAGTTTCTTCCTAAGAAAATACAGGAAATGGCCGTACTCACCTTACAAGGCAAGATGGCACAGAATTTTCAGTCAACAACAAGCCATGCAATCTCTTAAACAATCAGCTACAAAACCACCACAGCAAGAAGAACCCATCAAACCTCATGTTCTTTCTTCTCTTATTCACTCCTTTAGCATCTACAATGTTGAGCCAACCCCTAAAGCCTATGACTTTATAATCAAAACCCTTGTTAAAACCTCGCAATTCCATTACATTCCTTCAGTTCTTGATCATCTTGAAAATTTTGAAAACTTTGAACCCCCTGAATCTATTTTTTCTTATCTTATTGAAGTTTATGGCAGTACTGATAAAACCCATGAAGCAATTGAGTTGTTTTCTAGAATTCCCAAGTTTAGATGTGTCCCTTCTGTTTACTCACTCAATACTTTGATTTCAGTTCTTTGCAGAAACAGTAAAGGTCTAAATTTGGTGCCTGAAATTATGTTGAAGAGTCAGGCTATGAATATTCGAATGGAAGAATCGACTTTTCAGGTATTGATTACTGCTCTTTGTAGGATTAAAAAGGTGGGTTCTGCTATTGAGATGTTGAATTGCATGGTGAATGATGGGTTTACTGTAAATACAGAAATATGTTCTATGTTGTTGTCATGTCTTTGTGAGCAGAAAGATGTGACTAAATTTGAGGTTATGGGGTTTTTAGAGGAATTGAGAAAGTTAGGATTTTTTCCTGGAATGATGGATTATAGTAATGTTATTAGGTTTTTAGTGAAAGGGAAAATGGGTGTGGATGCTTTGCATGTTTTGAATCAGATGAAATTAGATAGAATTAAGCCTGATATCTTTTGCTACACTATGGTTTTGCATGGCATGATTGAAGACGGGGAGTATTTGAAGGCGGATGAGTTGTTCGATGAGTTGCTTCTTTTTGGTTTAGTTCCTGATGTTTATACTTACAATGTGTATATAAATGGTTTGTGTGAGCAAAATAATGTCGAAGCTGGAGTCAAGATGCTTGCTAGTATGGAGGAGTTGAGATGCAAACCTAATTTGATTACTTATAATATATTACTCAAGCAGTTGTGTAAGGTTGGAGAGCTTAGTAAGGCAGCAGACCTTCTGAGGGAGATGGGATTGAAAGGAATTGGACAAAACATGCAGACCTATAGGATTATGATTGATGGCTTGGCAAGTAATGGTAAAATTGTTGAAGCTTGTGGTTTCTTCGAGGAAGCAATGGATAAGGGTTTATTGAATCAGAGTTTGAAAGTTGATGATATAATTTGTGGTTTATGCCAAAGAGACCTAAGTTGTAAAGCACTAGAATTACTTGAGAAAATGGTTAGTAAGAATGTTTCTCCTGGTGCTAGAGCTTGGAAATCACTTCTTCTTAGCTCTGGATTCAAACTTGGTTTTGTGGAGACTACATTGATTAATTTGGTGGGCACGAGTCAAACTCAATTAAGTAATGAGAATGCTGCTGTTGAGTAATAAACCTTTTGGACTATTTTTCCTCCCAGAAATGGTTGAAGTCAGTGATGAAAGGTTGTGAGTTAGGAAGAGTTTTTCATCTTCTGGGATGATGGGTCTATGATTAACGTTTGTATTTGTTGAATTTTCAGTAATTGTGCCTCAGTGGACTGCTGGCAACTTTAATAACTTTCAAGTAACTAGCAGGTTAAGATTCTCAAACAAATTAAAAAAAAAATGCAAACGACCTGGCATAGCTGAAGCATTAAGTTACAAATTCAGTGTTTCTTTTCAGAAGCTAAGTTGCGATAGTGGATGGATGGCTGTGTGTTTTGAGCACTAATGAGGCCATTATTTGATTATCCCCTTCAGTGGGCACATGCAACCGCCCTGTTTCTGAATACAAAATCATGGCTACTCTTTATGCCTGGTGGCCCTTCCCCGATTTTATGAATTTCAAGACATGCACTAAATATTGGGGGCCCAACATCCGACTCCAGGTATTCTCTCAATTTATTTGTCCATTGCATTAGATGGATATGTTCATACAATTGTGGTGTGTTCTGGCTCAGTTGCGTTTTGCTTGTTTCAATAACTTTGCGTTCTCGAAAGGAACCTAAGTACTTGAGTCTCAAGTTACTGACATTGATTGGCCTTCTAATTTGAACCTAATAACAACTTGGCTCTACACTTTGCTTTTCATTTGCTAGTTTCTTCACTAATTTGAATTAGTAATTTGCAGTTTCAACCCTATGATCTTTTCTCACAATGCCTGTTCATTGATTTCTTTTGATTTGTCTCTTGCAGTGTTTCAAATTTACTACTGCGTACGTACATCTTGAAGGTGAATGCTTGGAGACAAGAACTTTAATAGATAGGATATAGATCTCCCACAAAATGCTTGAGTTGAGTTAGCTGTTGGTAGTAAATCATACATGGTTTTTGTTATTTGTATCAAGTCTTGATTCTACATATTGAAGAGGCCCCAACTGGTTTAGATCAATATTTTTAGGTTGGAGCAGCTTTTTTTACCTATTTAACTTTTTCAGCTCCCAGAAAGCATGCAAAGCCAACTCCACCAACACTTGTTTTATGGTGGGCTTGTCGCCTTTAAAGTGGGATCCTTTCTGAGCTATGAGGTTGATCAGACCAAGGTACGGGTTCATCCTAGAAACCAAATTCAATATTGTAGGTATGGTATTTGAATCTCTGCTGCCTTTAGCAGAATACCCATCGTTATTGGTGGAAGTTTTATTTTTTATGGTAATTTATAATTGAGATCTTGTTTCTTTTCAAATGGTCCAGCTGATGTAGCCCTCTATATCTCTAATCCTCTTCTCCACGGAATTAATGCTTGGATTTGATTAATGGTAATGAAATGACACAACCATGGATGCGTGTTTTTGTTGTCATCTCATTTATCTACTTGTCATTGTCTTCAATGGCAGGCCTGTGAATTGATTTGCTAGAGTATTCAGTAAACCAGCACCCAGTGTCTACAATAGTCTTCATTCTGCTATTTAGCACGTTCGATTGAAGTCTTTTATGGTGTTGGTTTATATGTCGTTTGCTATTATTCAATTACTTGCTGAATTTGGATAGTGAATGCATGCCAAACTCTTGGTTTTCTTTGGTTGAGTTTTCATTTGGATTATAAACTATATACATGTGCTAGAGGTAGGTTAAATTCCTATTCCACTAAGCCTCCCAGTGTCCACTCCTCATGTACTTTCTTTATCATATTTTCTTACTTGCTGAATCACACAAGGACTGCCTTTTCTATCCCCGAAAGTGACCAAAACTCTTGCACTGTCATCTCAATAGAATTTGATTTGAGGACCACCGAGATAGAAGAACAAAGTAAACAACTGGGGTTAGACTCTGTCCTCATTTGCTACCAAACTGTTTAGGGTCCACAAGCCTCATGCAAGTCTGCCATAGTTGCAACGAGTGGTTGAAAAGAATTAAACTTCCTCTATTTCTATCCAAGCTTGTTGCATTGCATGTTATGAACAGTGATTGTGGAGAATCTATTAAGGCAAGCATTAATCCGGCACATGAAATAATGTGAACTACAAAATTAACCTATTTTTCCTGCAAGCTAAAACAAGCAATCCTGTTTACCAGTACAATCATAGACAGCCATTTGCAGTATTTTGAATCATGGTAGTGAAGTCTTCAGTCCTGGTCGCAGGTTACGATGTTGGCAATTACAAGGAATTGTGACGGAATGTATGGTCCTGATTTATTTCATTTTTTTTTTTTTTGACATCTTTTGTGGGTAAGAACCGATTGCAGTGTTTCAATTAATTTATTCACCAAATGGCCAAAGGAAAATAAATAATTCACTAAAACTATCTGTGTTCTATGTGGAGAATCCAAATTAATTACGACTAGATAATGAATACTTCGTTATCATTTGGTGAAACGTTGAGATTGTAGTTTTCACTCTGCAAATCAGCATTGTTGTTCCTTTTGCCCCCTTTTTTCTACTCATGACGTACAAAGTCTTTTATGGCTCACGCTCTAAAAATAAAGTAGGAAAACCTTCCGCATGATTTGCGCTAGAATAATATACGTCGACAAAGAGGGTTGAAAAGTTTAAACTCCTCTTAGGAGAACTCTTTAAGAATAGTTAAAAATTCACTAGCTTCCAAGTTCAGTGGGAGAACAAGTAGATAGATGTAAGCCTCCATATATAAATAAATTAAAGGGGAAAAAATAGTGCACTCACTTTCTACTTTTCTGGTGAAATCATCGGAGAATCCTATGAGCGTTATATGTCAATTTTGGATTGCTTTTCGTGAAGTGGACTTTTAGGTGTTACAACTACAAGGGCTTCTCTCTGTGGTTGAAAGGTTAATGTCCATTTCTGAAAAACACAACACAGATTGTGCTTATATCAACTTTTCTTCATCTTTTTTTTTTTTTGGGGGGGGGGGGGGGGGGATTAGAAGGTGGGCAATGCCCTACTGAAAAAGTTACAGCCAGAACTTTTTTTTCTTTGGTCAGGTTCTAACCGGATTTGCCTGGGGATGGGGTGTGGGGCCGGTTTTAACTAGTCAGGTGATTGGTTCATCTGTCCTGAATTTTTCTTATTTTATTTTATTTTTTAATATATCTATTTACTACCCACAACTTTTACTTTATGGCTAAAGTTTATTCCTAAAAATTTCTTGGTACTTTTTTAATGTATATAATTATTACAAAAAATCTAGATATTTTTATATTTGCTTTATAACAAATATGAATATTTGATGTCAGAAAACATAATGATTAAATGAAACTTGATGCATAAACTTAGTATTTTTTTTTTTTTTGAAAACATAATGATTAAATACACGCACATATATAGTGCAATTACTCTAATTTTATTATGAAACTATTATATTTTTTTCTTCACCAAACTGGAGCTAAGTTTATGAAACCTGAAGAAATTATTAGGTATATCAAAGAATTATATTTCGCCTTTTTACAAAAATATGGGATTCATCGTAAAAATTATTTATAGATCTCACCTTTATTCAACAGAAAAGAGTACAATTCGTATACTGAATAATTCTTCGAAAACCAGATGCTCATCATCTGTTAAAATTGGCTTACAAATCAATCTAAATAGCCGGTCCGATCTAGTATGAGCAAAAATAAAGCAAATTCAGATTAAATCTGACTTGATTCCAGTCTGATACCACCTATGAATAGATATGATACCAACATAATGCTAATACAAATGCTAGTACAATGGACCCATTAATTTCTTTTAATATAAAGAGAAAACGGTAATGGAAGCAACAAAATAAAATGAAAGATTTGCAATACATATAAAAACCATCATTGAAAAGGAGAAAAAGATGAATTGAGAAACAAAGAGAAAATGAAAGATTTACAATACATAAAAAGGCTATCATTTTCTAAAGTTGCTTGCGATCTGGATCACTCCAATATTTGGGTAAACAAAGAGATAATTGATAAAGAAGGCAAGATGCTGCGAATGGCATTTCATTGTCATTCAGACGTGGATGAGAGGGAAAGGAGCTAAATTTGATGGAATGGAGACATTTTATACGGTGGCTATAGCTATCTTGTACTGTCCCCTAGATGGTGGTACCAAAATGCTATATTCATGAAAAGAACCCATCACTTTTCTTGGAAAAATCATGCCTCAAATGGTTTCCTCCACATACCTCTAATTTGCTGCCTGACTTGCCTCGTGTTTATCGGTGAAGAATGAGAGCAACATTGATAGACACCCACAACAGCAACCACTACAACTTAATGGAAGGAGTAGATAAAAAGAAGAAAGCTAATGATCAGCAGGAAATTTCATGTCTTTTAATTAGTTGTCAAGCCACTTGCATATCACATTATTTCTGCCAATATTCAGTGGAAAAGATAAACCCATTTCTCCCATTATACTAGTTTTCTCTGAATGTATGTATTCTCAACAGGAAACATGGATCACAGAAGAAAATACGTACCCCACTTCAGATTTTGTTTTCTTTTACAAAAATGGAAACTAGCTCCAACATGAGAGGAGGGGGCATGCATGTATGCCATTGAAATTCCATGGAATAAATTTTTGGGTAAAATTTAATTTGTCATTTTAAAGTTTACGAGGTATCTCAATTTCACTTTAAAAATTTGATTTGTATCAATTAGTTCTATTAACTTCTATTTCAGTTTCAATTCTACCATATATTCGTTTCTGTAAATATATGCAAATTTCATTTTTCTTCTAAAGTTTATGAAATGTCTCAATTTCACCTGGAAAAATATTAAAAGCTAAAGAACAAACAAATCAAAATTAAAAAAATAAAATTTAGAAAAGTAATTAAACAAATTTCTAGTCAAACAGCTACCAATTAATCCTTACTTTGATAATCTAAGAACAAGATTATGCTAAAAACAAATATGAAAAATTTATTTATCAACTCCATCAACCATCATTGCCTCTGTCACATGCATTATCATATTTATATGTTATATTCCATTTGTATTAAGATTTGCTATCAAATTTTGAACAAGAACTTGAAAATAAAATAAAATAAAATTCCATATGGTTGGAATGGTAGTTTGAGAATAGGAAAAGTTCAACGTCACCTAAAATGCGAGTTTTGCAAAGGCTCAAACTCCAGTAATCATATTAAAAATGTTTTTTTGACCACATCATCAGAGAAAAAGAAAGATGTGATGGTGAGGGACGAAAGTAGTGGCAGTTTTGATAGGAAAATTGAATAAGAGACATAAATTCATTTAAATCTTGATTTTTAATTAAGTTTTAGTATTGACAAAGAAAGAAACAACATATTGTTATTCGTGAATGAAAATTGAAGTTGATAAGGTATGAAAATTTCTTGAGAAAGTAACACACTGAAGGTTGATAAGGTTCAAACTCCAGCAATTAATCATATTCGTTTATTTATTTATTTTTAGGTTTTGATACTTTTTGAGTAATGTTGAGATATTTTCTAGATTTCAATGGTAAAATTAAAACTTAGACATTAGTATTCCCTTACTATTATCACAAACGGAAATGGGCAGAAGGGGATCGAAATCGTAACTACACTGAAAGTTGAAGGGCTTGATTGATATAAAACGAGCTTTTAAATTTAATCAAGATATCCACTAAACCTCAGGGGATAAAAAGTTTACCCCAGATTTTTAGTGCAGAACATAAATATTTATTGAGATGATATAAACAATAATATTTTGGAAGTTGAGGTTAAATTTGCTTCTAATCAACATCCCTATACCATTTTGGGCTCTAATTCAATAAGTTTCTCCCTTTTTTTATATGATATAGAACCGGAAAGGAATAATAAATATGTCAATTCAATGATTAGACTGAAAAATAAATATGTGAAGTCTAGGGAGAAAATACCTCAAACTTGGTGATTTTATTAATTAAGGATAAGTTGTCTTGCCATTAGACAATTGCATTTGTATAAATAATGAATTAGGATAACCCTAATTCTTCTAAACGTGAAAACAAAATATTTCTTTTTATGAAAAAGATTGCAACAATATTATTAACTAATTCTTGAATAAAATTTTTTATCTAAAACATAAAGTTGGCTGCTCTAAATTACTACAATTATACGAAAATTTGAAACTACAATACGAAATAAGCAATAATAGTAGTGGTTGTCATGGCTTGTCAATTTAAAGACATTTTTGATTGCTATTTTTTCGTCTTAGATTCCCTAAATGTTGGATTCACAACAAAAGTGCATTATAAAGGCCAATATCATCGTGAAATTCGGGAGAAAACTTGGTTTATATATATATATATATATACACACACACACAACCCTTGTGATTAAACTGGCTAGAGAAGTGTACATGACAACGGTCCACTTGACCGATTTGCTAAAAAGTAACTCTTTCTTCATACATGCAAGTGGGGTTTATAATTTTTAGATTCAATTCTAGAATCCAATAAAAGATAATTATTATAAATATTTTCTGGACCGGATTAATTTGACAAAATAACGAGAGAGAGAGAAGAAATGTTATTACACAAGGAAAAAAAAAACAATATAAAATTATGAAAAAACTATAAACATTCAATCATAGGACTAATTTAGAGCTCGAGATTAATAAGCTAGCAAAATTAAGAAAGAGAGAGAGTGAAGAAATTTTATTACTTCAGAAGAAAGAAAAACTTACTACATGGTTGGTTTGGGAGAAAAATACTCTAATAATTTAAGCGAGTGGTTTCGATTTCGAACCTTTGTATATATATAGAAAACTCCATAAGTTATTGTGTCCGTTTAATATGTTTTACCGAATAGCAAGAGATCATTAATTGAGATTTTTAGGTTTAGAATATCCTGAGAATCCAAAGAAAGAAAGAAAGAAAGAAAATGTAAGAATAAATTACTAAAAAAACTTATAAATATTGAATCACGGGATTAATGTGAAACCCATTAATTGAATTTGCTGATAGTGCCTGATACTTGATCAATTTAATTTTGTTGTTTTTTCTTTGTGAAATAATATTACTCGAGATTATACTGTATAGAGTCAGAAAAAAGAAAGCCTCTCTTGATGTTTAGATCAAACTTCACTGCTGTATGGAGATCATGTGTCGGTCTCGTAAGTTAGAATCAATTCTGATTATGACCTAATAATTGAGTCAAAGCTTATCTTTATCCACCATGACAATTTTGTTGAAATATATATATATATATATATATATATATATATATATATATATCACCAATCACTAGCTCACAACTTGCAATTATATATGACAATATATATCCACCCAAGTAGCACATGGAGTATAGATCTTTTCTTGATCTTTATTCCCATAGTGAAAACATTTTTTTTTTCTTTGCTTCCCAAATATATTATATTTATTATATACACATATGAATATTGTTTTTGTTTGTACTTGTATCTATGTTAACATATGATATGACTGGAGGGTTTTTGACACATGTAGTAGAAGTGTATGTCTTTTGACCATAAGAGAAAAAGATAAATAGTTAGGTATGCTATGGCTATGGAGGCGGAGCCATAACTTCGATCTCCACAAAAATCACAGGAGATAAATTATACTAATTATCTAACATGGGTTTGGACATGACTCACCTGCATGCATGAATTCAGTACCTGAAGTGGAGATTCTCCGATTTGAAGTGCCCAAGATGAACTAATATAGCTAGGTGCGGTAGTGATCATGATGGGGAAGACAGGCACATGAAGAACTAACTCACCGGAGCTAACAAAACCAATAGTAGCTAGGTAAGAGTCATAACTCATGACACCAGCAAGAAATGTGTCTCTCTCTTCTTTATGTGCATGAGTTAGTAATGCACGTGCCCTGCTTCTCCATCTTGCTCACACACACCTTCTCTTCATTTGATACCACTGCTATAACTCTAGCTAGCAACCTCATCTCACATGAGAAAATGAGTGATAAAGAGGAGGGGTGGAGTGGGGAGGGGAGAGGTCTTAAAATGGTGAATTTGAGACACCTCTCTGCAGTTTTCAGTACTCGGTGTCCACTAATTTATAACAAAAGAGGTAAATGAGTGTGTGTTCGAAGGTGGTTGTGAGGCAGGAAATGAAAAGGCTTAGTTGGGTGTGGGACCTTATGAGGTTGCAAGCCAATTTACCTCAAACACAGCTTGTCACAACTATCACGAATAGCATTGGACCACAGCATCACTAACGCAAAATAGATTTACTCTATACCCAATTCTTAATTCAAAACAACTAAATTAAAGAGAATCCAATTGTTTTGTTGGTGGCACCTGATGAACAGTAGTTACAAGTGCACGTTTAAAAATGGCATGCTACTATTGTTTATTCATGATGTTCTCATCTTAACTTTATACTTTATTTGATCTCCAAGGGAAGAAAGCCACAATGGTTAAACAAATCTATCAAGACTTTAACAATTGATAAGCTTTAGATCCTCTCTACTCATTACCAGCCTAATGTGGACCGATTAATTAGTGCTCATATACTAAGCAATTTTAAATTAATGATTAATCTTTCATGTATATATGGGTACTTAAACCTATCACAATGATCATCTCCCTTCTAACAACCTGTTCAAATATATATATATATATATATAAAGAAGAAACTCATTTTAAGAACTTTATTTTTCACCCTATATACGTACATCGATCTCTTAGTTTTTTGTTTTTTTGTTTAAAAAAAAATTAATAACAGAGCCTAAACCCAAAGTATATTGAAAAAGAAACTGAAACCATATATACGGGGTAGAATAACCCTTGTAACAATTAAGTGGCTTGTCAAGGGAATAACCTTTCACGACTCAACAAGATTAGTGGCGGATTGGGGATATGATACTGGTAATTTAAACTACTCAATGTAAGTTGATTCGAGTATGAGAATTTTTTAGCATAAAAATTTTATTAAATTATCTTCCATGTTAGATCATCTTTTCGTGAAGAAAATCGACGTCTAAATATTGCTAGTGAAGGGCATAAATATTCTAGGTCATTATAATAATTGCTACTTAAATTAAAGCATGATCAGTTGGTAATATATATGGTTGGCAATGGCTCCCTTAATTAGATCCATATATAACTATGTATAACTGCATATTTATTACTGGATGTCCCCAAAGCCATGGTCCATGGACAATGATCATAACTAGCTTGGCAAAATATCTGAGCTCATCAGAGGCCAGCATCTTGTTACCTAATGAACTGCCAATTCCCTAGAATGTAGTCTCAACCCCGCCCTTTAGCTGGAGGTGGATACAAAACCAAACCCTTAGTCATATTCAGTTCGGAGATCCGCTTTCTCCTGCCATGATCTTCCCTATAAATTGGAATATTGACTCATTGGAAGAATTTGAAAGTGTTTACAATGCAAATTATGTTTCATTTTCTCTATTTAAATAGATACGAGTAGCGACGTATTGATATATAAAAGTGGAAAATTAATCTGCATATCCTCCAGCATGTCAAGATTCGACTTTATTCCCTTGACATTAATGCTATTTTCTTTTCTCCTTCTTCTTCTTCTTCTTCTTCTTCTAATGAAAATCGATTGATTGATTACAAAAGACAAATAGCAAGCTAGTGGCTAAATAGTTTATGCAAGCCAATAATTTTTCATTTCTATCTGGCTTTGTTTTGTTAAAAAGAGATAGGGTTTACGCAGAAATGTCATCTGATTTGCTTCTCTAAGACCATGGTTAAATCTAACCGACTTTAATGCCTTCCCTAAAGAAGAGGCTGCATTAAAATCATTTTGCAACCTCCAAGGCCTGAGGTCTGATTGTTTGTGGAGCCAATGAATGTAGCATATTATAAGAATGTTTAGACTCGAAATTAAAATCATTTCTATCTTTTGATTGCTAGAACTTTTGTCTTCTTGGAGTCCATAATGCGGGTAGAAGAAGAGAAGATACCTAGAAATGGATCTGTATGATATTTCCGAACACCTTCCTGATCTCCCTAATTTCTTCAAAGAATAACAATAAAAAAAATATTCTTAAAAAAAACAAAAAAAATAGTATCTAACTGAATAACCTAACCATCAAAATGGACCGGTTACATTTTAATGAGTGGACTTATCCCTGCCACGCAAGGTCCTCTAGACTTGTTTATACGTAACCACATTCCTAGATGGCTGCTCGCCACAGAACATTGTTTTTATTCATGTGTCATAATTAATTTGAGATTGATGTATTTGTCTGAAGTCTTGAGGTAAATTCTTCTCTAAAAATTTACTAGAAGGAGAGGTGCTTGGAAGTCCATAGAAAACTGAATTTTAAATCTAAGTATAATTTTTTATTCCATTATGTTTATAAGATAGATTAAAGCTAGATTTTGCATCTTACTTAATTAAGAAACAACAATACGAAAAGGCAAACAAATCTCGAACCTTTCATTCTATTAACTTTCTACTCTTTACAAAACTTGCAGTTCTTGCATGCACTTCCCAAAACATGTTTGATAATCCTTACCAATAATAAAATTTGTTTGAGCAATTTCAATACTTTCAAAATATATATATGCATGTAGTTGTGCCATTTGAAATAAATTAGTTTATGTTCTACTGAACCTCAAGCTCCGATGGTAAGTCTTAAAATAACTTTATGGTTGATGATGATGGCCTAAACCCTTGACTCGTAAAATACTTTGACCGGTCCATTCGAGAGGCGCTTTTCCGTCTTTGTATTCTCTAGCGTTAGCCAATGCGCGATTTTACTCTAAAAAGACGTTTCTTGAAATGAAAAAGAAAGAGATTGCTTGGAGTTCATAATCTGCATAAACCCTTCGCTCCTAACCAATATAATTTATCAATCAAAGCCTCCCATCGAGAGGCTAAGAGAGCCGCTAGCGCAAAGCGCACGTTTCCATAAACAACGTCACTGATGGTAAAAGATATAAATTCGTTACATGTTAGTTCTTGATAGGAAAAATTCTAAAGTATAGTTTAGGATTTATAATTCAACATCAAACATCTGCATATAAAAAAAAGATAATTACATTAATAAGGTGGTTATCAAATATTTTAATTAAAATATTTTCTTTTACTGTGATAAGACTCCTGTATTCTTCTACAGCATAGAATTTTGATTTTTTTTATTGTAGTGTGATTAGTGGGTTTCCAACTCAATGATGCTGAGTTGGAAATGACATTCACAGGGCCAACTATGGTGATTTTGGTATTGTGAGAGGAGATTTTCTCGCACATCATCTTTGTTATCAAGGACCATCTCAATCCCTTTTTTTCAATTTATCAAGAAATAAAAACCTCAAGTGGTGACAATTTTTTATCGAATGCCTTACGTATCTAAGGTACCGACAATACTTCGTATTTTTCTTTGTCTTCTTAGTGTGTGAGTTTTTTCATCCATAAAAGGATACAAACTTGGTCATCCACTCAACTATCTAACAGAGTGTAAATCATGTCTATACTCGTAAGAAAAAAAGTGGTGGTAGATTCACTTTCCTTAGTGATGGTTCAATAGTCACCCCTCTAGTTCCGTTGTTAGATCTCTCATCTAGTTGAATAATATTTATTGAAAATTTTCTTTTGGTACTCGTTAAAAAGAGGGATGAAGTCATTTCTTCTAGAAAAAAATGGAATTGATGGTCCGACAAGTGCTTTCGTTTAAGATAGAAAAAATGATCAAGAATAAATTCTCAATATATGTAATGTACTCTTTATACATGTTCGAAATACATAATTTGACAATTTTTTTCTCATCCCTCCTAGATGTCCAAGATACGATTTTTGAATTGTTTAATGTATTCTAACAAATCATATATAAAAATTTGGCATTCTCTACCCAAAAGTCAAGCATGGTCACTATTTCATTAGTGGATAAATTTTTTTTAGTAAACATTTGGCACATAGTTACCCATGTCCGCACCAAACTAGGGAACATGTTTATATACTTGGTGTATACTTTTTCAATTAGAGACTTACAAAATTTGTTCATATTCAAATCATCATCCAAACCATAAATGCTTAGGATCTTTACAAACTTCATAAGATGCTTCTTGTCACCCCGTTGTTTTTTATTGAAAACTTTGAACTTGAAACTCACATAATTCTTCAAATGAGGTCTCACAAAAATATGGATTGGCTATAAAAATTTGAGATCAAATTCATTAGTAAACTTTTCCATCTTTCATTCAAATTTTTCTAAGTCCTCGTCGATAAGATAGTAACGTTGATCACTAAAAGTAGCATCATTATGAAGCAATTAGTGGTCGTGCATGGCTACATAATGGGTGTTTGGTGGGCAAATGTCTTTTATATCATTCAATTGAATAATATTCAATTTAAACCGAAAACCCAAATCGAATCAAAATATCATTTTTGTTTTTAACTAACAAAAATAATAATAACTAGATTTATTTTTCTTTTCAATTTTAATTCAGCTTTTGAAATTTTTGGTTCAATTTTCACCAAAAATCGATTTGATTTTTTTACATTTTGAACTTTCGAATGGCATTTGAACTCTTTTAGTTCAGTTTACAACATGTTTGAACAATCAATCATTTTTATCATTATATATTTTAGATTTAAATTAATGGATCTATATTTAAATTTTAATATCTTATTATGTGGTATGGTTTTGTATTTTTGTATTATTTAACAATTATTTATTATTTTTTATATAGATTAATATAGACTATTTGGAATAGAACAAGGGTTATATAGTCCATAACATAACTTTTTGGCCTATTTACATTATTTAAAAAAAGTAAAAATTTTGAAAAAATAAATTCGGTTTTAATCGAAAAATAAAACCTAAAAACCAAAATTTTTGTTTCAAAAACTAAAAAAACAAATCATAATTTGATTAGAGTTTGGTAAACCAAAAACCAAATAAAGATGTTAAAAATCGGAAAAAAAAAATTGCTTACCCTTAAGAGGTATCACAGTTTGACTGGACGAGTAGTTTGGTGCAATCAAACCGTGAAACTAGTTCGATGATGTTGTTGAGGGCTTTGGAAAATGTAACATTGTTGTCCTAAAGGATTTTAAAGACTTATTATTGTTTTTATTGTAGTCTAAGTTGAATATTCTAGAAAATCTTCGGGACTTCTCTCATGGTTTGGAGGCTTAAATGTGTAAAAATCATGGTAGGAGCTTGAGTAATGGGTCGATGTAGGCTATCTCTTGGTAATGCTTGTAAGTTGGCATTAACAACTTAGGGGTCTTGAG